GGTATCACTACGGAAGTAGATTGCCCAACCTTCCTTCCGAGGAATGGCTGGTGGGTTTGAACTGCCAGCCTTCTGGTCAGCAGTCAAATGCCTTAGGCACTATGCCACCACAGCTCCGGGATCCTGGCAAGAAACAAGGCTCCAGGAATTGATAGAATACCCATTGAGATGTTTCAACAAGCAGATGCAGTCCTGGAGGCACTTACTTGTTTATGCTAAGTAATTTGGAAGACAGCTACCTGGCCAACTGACTGGAACAGATCCTTATTTCTGCCCATTCCAAAGAAAGGTGATCCAACAGAATGCAGAAATTATTGAACAATATCATTAATGTCACTCACAGTAAAATTATGCTGAAGTTAATTTTAAAATGGTTACAACATCACATCAACAGGAAACTGTCAAAAATTCAAGCCAGCTTCAGAAGAGAAAATGAAATGAGGGATGTCATTGCTGATGTCAGATGGATCCTGGCTGAAAGCAGAGAAAACCAGAAAGATGTTTACCTGTGTCTTATTGACTATAAAAAGGCATTTGATTGTGTGGATCATAACAAATAATGGAAAACATTGTGAAGAGTAAGAATTCAATAATGTTTTTTTTTTTTTTTTTTTTAACAGTGCTCCCTCTCCTCCCCTTCCACCCCTGGTAACCAACAAAGTTTCCTCCCATATATAAACCTTTCCTTGACTTTTTACAATAGTGAACTAATAAAATATTTGTGCTTCTGTGATTGATTGATGATTTCACTCAGCATAATGTCCTTCAAGTTGATTCATGTTAAGAGGTGTTTTGCAGATTCTACACTATTCTTTAGTGTTGCATAGTATTCCATTGCGTGTATGTACCATACTTTGGTTATCCATTCTTCTGCTGATGGGCACCTAGGTTGTTTCCATCATTTTGCTATTGTAAATAGTGCTGTGATGAACATGGCTACGCATATATCTATTCTTGTCCTGGCTCTCACTTCTTTTGATATATACCTAGTAATGGGATTGCTGGGTCAAATGGTATTTCTATCCAACTTTTTGAGGAATTGCCATACTGTTTTCCACAGTGGTTGTATCACTTTATAATCCCCCCAGCAGTATATGAGAGTCTCAATCTCTCCACAACCTCACTAGCATTTGTTATTTTCTGTCTTGTTGAACTTTGCCATTAGTGCTGGGGCCAGATGGTATCTCATTGTTGTTTTGATTTGCAGCTTTGTAATGGCTAACGGTCATGAATATTTCTACATCTGCTTGTTGGATGCCTGCATATCCACTTTGGTGAAGTGTCTATTCATGTTTTCTGACTATTTTTTAAATGGATTCTTTGTCTTTCGTTGTTGAGGTGTTAAGAGTTTTCTATAAATTTTAGAGATAAGTCTTTATCAGATATATCATTGCTGAATATTTTTTCCCAATCTGTAGGTTCTCTTTTCACTCTTTTGGAAAAGTCTTTTGAAGCACATAAGAATTTAATTTTTAGATGGACCCATTCATCCAGTTTATCTTCTGCTGTTTGTACATTATGCCATAAGTTAGGGCCCCTAAATTTACCTCTATTTTTTCCTTGAAGAACTTTATAGTTTTAGGTTTCACACTTAAGTCTTTGATGCATCTGGAGTTAGTTTTTGTGTGTGGTGTGAGGTACGGATCTTGTTTCATTTTTCTCCAAATGGATATCCAGTTTTGCCAGCACCATTTATTAAAGAGACCATCTCTTCCTCATTTAATGGATTTCAGGCCTTTGTCAAAAATCATCCGACCATAGGTCAATGGATCTATTTCTGGGTTCTCAATTCTGTTCCACGGGTCTATGTGTTTGTCATTGTACCAATACCAGGCTGTTTTGACTACTACGGCTGTATAGTAGGTTTTGAAATCTGGAAGTATGAGACCTACTTTGTTCTTCTTCTTCTTCAATAGTGCTTAGAATTCAGTAATACTTAATTGTGCTCAAGGGGAACCTGTACTTAGACCAAGAGGCAGTCCTTTGAATAGAACAAGGGTATACTGCATGTTTTAAAATCAGGAAGGGTGATTCACCATACTTATACCATCTGTATGCTGAGAAAATAATCTGAGAAGCTATACTTTATGAGGAAAAATGAGGCATCAGGATTGGAGATTAAGAGAATGAGAATGGAGGAAGAGTCATCAACAACCTGTGATATGCAGATGACAGAATATTGCTTGGTGAAAATGAAGATGATTTGAAGCATCTACTGATGAAGATTAAAGACTACAGTCTTCAGTATGGATTACACATCAACATAAAGAAAACAAAAATCTTCACAACTAGACCAATAAGCAACATTATGATAAATACAGAAAATACTGAAGTTGTCAAGGATTTCATTTTACTTGAATACACAATCAACACCTATGGAAGCAGCAGTCAAGCACCCATGGCCATATATAAGGGTGGCAGATGATATTTCTACATACATATTTGCATGTGCTGCAAGAATGTCCATGTAACTAGAACTAATGGTGGCAGAGTTATGATAACTTCTTAGGCACAGTCAACCACCCTGATGGAGTGAGTTGTTGGACCTGTGGGCTTGGGACCATGGTTGCAGGGGACATTAAGCTCAATGGGTATAACATACTACACAAAAACATTGTTCTACATCCTACTTTGGTGAGTAGTGACTGGAATCTTAAAAGCTCACAAGTAGCCATCTAGATGCAACAATTGGTCTCTCCTTGTCCAGAGCAAAAAATAATGAAGAAACCAAAAATACATGGAAATAATTAGTCCAAGGGACTGGTGGACCATACGAAACTCAGCCTGCATGGCCATGAGACCAGTAGAACTAGATGGTGCCCAGCTATCATGGTCAACTACTCAGAAAGGGACCAGTGCAGCAGATTTTGGATAAAGTGGGAGAACAATGTGGAACAAAACTCAAAATTATAAAAAAGACTAGGTTTACTCATCTGATAGAACCTGGTGTGACCCTCAAAACTATCGCCCCTATTTACCCTTCAATTCTGGAATTGAACTCATTCCTGTGGCTTCCAGTCAAACAACAGACAGGCATATAGGGTGAACATTTACATCAAGTAGATGCATTCCTTAGAACGGTCAATCATGGGAAAACAGAAGGGCAGTGTTTGCACAAGGAGATAGCTCAGGGGACAGGAATGCATAGGAAAGAAGGACACAGGGAAGAGGTGACTACAGGGAGGAAATGGGAGAGCTGTTACATCGTGGGGAAGTACAATCAATGTCATGAAGCAAAATGTATATGAACTGGTGTATGGAAAATGAATTTGCTCTGTAAACTTTCACCCAAATCACAATAAAAATTAAATTAAGAAAGGAATCAGACGACATATTGCATTGGCAATTCTGTAAAAGACCTCTTTAAAGACATCTCAACACTATGGGAGAGAGATCCAATAGATCTACTACTTCAGGACCACAGTACTGGGGTACACCAGACTCAATTGGCACAACAAAATACATAAAAGCATTACTCCACATCCTACATTGGTGAGTAGTAGCGACTGGGGTCTTAAATGCTTTCAAGCAGCCATCTAAGATGCAGCTAATGATCTCCTAGCGTCGGAAGTGAAGAAGAACGCAAAAAAAAAAAAAAAAAAAAAAAAAAAAAAAAAAAAAAAAAGGCACTTAGAAGCAATCAGCTCTAGGACACGACGGCCCTCAAGACCAGAACTGGATGGTGCCCGGCTACCAATGCCAACCACTCAGGAAAAGATCAAATCTGGAGATCCTGGACAGAGTGGGAGGGAAAACGTGGAACACAATCCAGAAACTCAATAATGACCAGAATTACAGGTCAGATGAAATCTGGTGAGACTCCCAATACTATGGCCCTGAAATACATTTGGCGCTGGAATAAAACTCACCCCCAGGGGCGGGCTCTCAGCCCAATAGTTAACAAGATGTACATGCAGACCACTCAACCCAGGATGCCGCACCCACACACTCAATGGTAATACATCCCTTAGAGCAATAGACCGTGGAACACCAGAGGACCAACATTCAAACTGAGGAAATGCAGGACAAACAGGAATGCATAAATATGAGGGGCACAAGGGGAGGGCTGCAGCGTAGGAGGGGAGGAGACTAGGTTAGAGTTGGACATGGCGAATGGGGAATGAAACTAAATGTACACATGACATTGAATGTAAAACAAGCCCTTAAAATAAAAATAATGTTTTTTTTTTTAAAAAAAAAGGATGTCATTTTGAGAACTAAGATGTGCCTGATCCAAGCCAGAGTACTTTCAATCACCTCATACACATGTGAAAGGTGGACAATAAATAAGGAAGACTGAAGAATTGTTTAACTATGGTGTTGGTGAAGAATATTAAATATACCCTAGACTGCCAGAAGGACAAACAAATCTGTTTCGGAAGAAGCGCAGCCAGTGCTTATTAGAAGTGAGGATGGCAAGACTTCGTCTCATGTACTTTGGGACACATTATCAAGAAGGACCAGTCCCTGGTCCTGGTAAGGTACAGAGTCAGTGAAAAAGACTAGTCCCTGGTCCTGGTAAAGTAGAGGGTCAGCCAAAAAGAGGAAGACCCTCAAGGAGATGGACTGACACAGTGGCAGCAACAATGGGCTCAAATATAGCAACGATTGTGAGGACAGCACAAGCCCGGGCAAAGTTTTGTTCTATTGTACATAGGGTCACTATGGGTCAGAACCTACTCAACTGCACCTAACAACAAAGCTCTTGTGTATTTTTCTTTAGTTTGTTTTTTTAAAAATATTTTTTTCTCTTTTAAACAATTAAAAAGTAATACATGATAGCTCTGGTAGCATAGTGGCTAAGGCACTTGACTGCTAACCAGAAGGCTGGCGGTTCAAACCC